TGATATTAGCTGGTTATTTTGCTCGTTAGTTGATGCAATTTCTTCCCAGCATGGATGGTCTTTACATTTTGGCATGTTTTTGCAATGGCTGGTACCGGTTGTTCCTTTCCATGTTTAGTGCTTCCTTCAGAATCTCTTGTAGGGCAGGCGGTGGTGACAAAATCTCTAAGCATTTGCTTATCTGTAAAGGATTTTATTTCTCCTTCACTTATGAAACTTAGTTTGGCTTGATATGAAATTCTGGTTTGAAAATTCTTTTCTTTAAGAATGTTTAATATTGGCCCCTACTCTCTTCTGGCTTGTACAGTTTCTGCCGAGAGATCTGCTGTTAGTCTGATGGGCTTCCCTTTGTGGGTAACCCGACCTTTCTCTTCTTGGCCTGCCCTTTAACTGATTTTATTTCCTTCAATTTCAAGCTTTGGGCGAATTCTGGGCCAATATATGTGGTCTTGGAGTTTGCTCTTCTCGAGGAGTTATCTTCTGTGCCGTTCTCTGTATTCCCTGGATTTGAATGTTTGGCCTGCCCTACTAGTTCTTTTTTTTTTTTTCTTGTCGGTTGCGGGACAGTTCTCCTGGATGATATCCTGAAGAGTGTTTTCCAACTTAGTTCCATTTTCCCCCTCACTTTCAGGCACCCCAATCAGACGTAGATTTGGTCTTTTCACATAATCCCATATTTCTTGGAGGCTTTGTTCCTTTCTTTTTCCTTTTTTTTCTCTAGACTTCTCTTCTCGCTTCATTTCATTCGTTTGATCTTCAATCATTGATACTCTTTCTTCCAGTTGATCAAGTCGGTTATTGAAGCCTGTGTGTTTGTCACACATCTCTCATGTCATGGTTTTTATCTCTGTCTGTTCGTTTATGGCCTTCTCTGCGTTGATTATTCTAGTTATCCATTCTTCCATTATTTTTTCAAGATTTTTAATTTTTTGCTCTCGGTACGTAGTTCCTCCTTTAGCTCTGAGAAGTTTGATGGACTGAAGCCTTCTCCTCTGAACTCGTCAAAGTCATTCTCCGTCCAGCTTTGATCCATTGCTGGCGATGAGCTGCGTTCCTGTGGAGGGGGAGTTTCGCTCTGATTTTTTGAATTTCCAGCTTTTCTGCCCTGCTTTTTCCCCATCTTTGTGGTTTTATCTGCCTTTGGTCTTTGATGCTGGTGACGTACTGATGGAGTTTTGGTGTGGGTGTCCTGTCTGTTTGTTAGTTTTCCTTCTAGCAGTCAGGACCCTCAGCTGTAGGTCTGTTGGAGATTGCTTGAGGTCCACTCCAGACCCTGTTTGCCTGAGTATCAGCAGCAGAGGCTGCAGAAGATAGAATATTGCTGAACAGCAAGTGCTGCTGTCTGATTCTTACTCTGGAGGCTTCGTCTCAGAGGTGTACCCCGCCGTGTGAGGTGTGAGGTGTCGGTCTGCACCTAGTAGGGGATGTCTCGCAGTTAGGCTACTCAAGGGTCAGCGACCCGCTTGAGCAGGCAGTCTGTTCATTCTCAGATCTCAGCCTCAGTGCTGGGAGATCCACTGTTCTCTTCAAAGCTGTCAGATGGCTGTCAGACTCCACCCAGAGGTGGAGTCTTCAGAGACAGGCAGGCCTCTTTGTGCTGAGGTGAGCTCCACCCAGTTCGAGCTTCCTGGAGGCTTTGTTTACCTGCTTAAGCCTCAGCAATGGCGGGCACCCCTCCCCCAGCCAGGCTGCTGCCTTGCCCTTAGATCTCAGACTGCTGTGCTAGTAATGAGGGAGGCTCCGTGGGTGTGGGACCCTCCAGGCCAGGTGTGGGATATAATCTCCTGGTGTGCCGTTTGCTTAGACCCTTGGTAAAGCACAATATTAGGGTGGGAGTTACCCGATTTTCCAGGTGTTGTGTGTCTCAGTTTCCCTTGACTAGGAAAAGGGATTCCCTTCCCCCTTGCGCTTCCCAGGTGTGGCGATGCCTTGCCCTGCTTCAGCTCTTGCTGGTCAGGCTGCACCAGCTGACCAGCACTGATTGTCCGGCACTCCCCAGTGAGATGAACCCAGTAACTTAGTTGAAAATGCAGAAATCACCCGTCTTCTGTGTCGCTCACGCTGAGAGCTGGAGGCTGGAGCTGTTCCTATTTGGCCATCTTGCTCCCGACCGTCTGTCTTGTAGTCTTATAACCACCCCTGTGGCGAATACCAGAATATCCCATATGAGAAGAGCTATCTAAAAGGCAAAGAGTGTGAAAAGAAAGGTAATAGAAAGCCACTTTTATAACTGTCTCAAAAGTACAACCCACACTTCAAAAGTATATAATCTTCAATGGAATACTATTCAGCCATAAGAAAGAATGAAATCCTGTCTTTTGCAGCAAGATGGATGGAACTGGAGGCCATTATCTTAAGTGAAACAACTCAGAAACAGAAAGACAAATACCTCATGTTCTCACTCATAAGTGGAAGCTAAATAATGTGTACATATGGAAATAGGATGTGGAATGATAGAAAATAGAGACTGGTATGAGTGAGGGAGTGGGAGATGGGTGGATGATGAGAAACTACTTAGTAGGTACTATGTACATTATTCAGGTGATAGATACTCTTGAAAGCCCTAACTACACCACTGTGCAACCTATATCCATGTAACGAAATTTTACTTGTACTCTGTGAATTGATACAAAAATTTTTACAAGAAAAAAAGTGTTTAGTCTTTAACACCTGGCTACATTATAGACTACCTGTGTGACTTTGGTTAATCAACTGCCTCTGGTAGTTAATCGACTATCCCGATCTTATTACCTATCTTACAAATATATTGAGAAAATAAAATGAAATAATATACGTGAAAGCATGTTGTAAACTCTAAAATGCTGTGTAAATTGTGTCATTATTACCTTTCAGTACTCAAAGTAGCAAAGATAATGACAATTGGCTGAAGTAGTTTTCCCTACATTGTCATAAAGGACATTCCCCCTTTACTTCAAGAATCACATGGCAACTTTTAAGGTATTCAACTTGCAGAAAGTCTTTGTTTCAAGTTTTTCATTATGGCTTGTTTCTGTCACTGTATGGGAAAATAGAATTAACACATCATAATAATACCAGAGAATACATGTTAATAGGAAAACAAAATAAAAATTTGTGATGGAGCTTTGTGTTTTTGAACCTTTAGAAATGGATAAAAAGATAGTATAAACACTGATTTTTTTTATTTCAGTTATTTACCTCATATTCTACCATGCCATCTTTGTGTTCTTTACCTGGACCTACTGGAAGTCTATCTTTACACTCCCACAGCAGCCAAACCAGAAGGTAAGAATATTGGTTACTTCTTAAAGGATAAGAACAGAGAAAAGTAGAAATGACAATAAAGCAAGAAGAGACAAAAATCTTAAAGAACTCCTAGTGATAAAGATGAATTGAGGGTAGGATAGGCTATTGAAGGAGTTTGTGAAATCACCTGCTCTGGATATCTTTAATACTAGGAAGCCAACTGGGTGCTGTGGCTCACACCTGTATTCCCAACATTTTGGGAGGCTGAGGCAGGAGAATCACTTAAAGCCAGGAGTTTGAGACCTCAGCAAAAAAGTGAGACCTTGTCAATACACAGAATTTTTTAATTAGCTGGGCATGGTGGAGCACACCTGTGTTCCCAGCTACTCAGGAGGCTGAGGCAGAGGATTACTTAAACCCAGGAGTTTGAGGCTGCAGTGACCTGTGATGGTGCCACTAGACTCCAGTCTGAGTGAGAGTAAGACCCTGTCTCAAATTTTAAAAAGAGTAGGAAACCACTACCTGCATTGGTGAGATAATTAGAAAACAAGGACCCACTTGGACTCTGAGGCCTCATCTAATTCAATTCTATGAAACTATTATTTTAGTGATTGTTTTATTTATTTAGTGCTGTTATGTCATTCCAGTGAGACTCTGAAATACAAATGAGAAAAAAGCACAATAGTTAAATCAATCACTTTCAGACTGTGTTACCTTAAATACAAGTGTTTCATGCAATATTTGTAAGTGTTCATGAAATAATTTGTGATTATGTTAGGTATTTGTAATGTATAACTACTCTAAATTAAGGTAGGTTCCAAAGTAGAAAAAGAACAATAGGGGAAACTTTCTAGCCTCTGAACATTAGGAAAAATACTGTCTCCTTAATGAAACCAAAACGATGCACAAGAAAAATAAAGTTAACTACAGAGAAAAGCAATAATGTAGGAATTGAGGAATGTAAGAGATATGAGATATGAAGAAAATAAAGAGGAAAATGATAGAAGTTATTCATAATAAGTAACTGCTTGAAACATAAATGGATTAAACTATTCAATTAAAATGTTGAGATTGACAGAATGGATAAAAAATTGTGATTTACCTTTATACTGTTTACAAAATCTAACTTTAGAACCAGAGACATACATAGGTTGAAAATGTAAAGCTAGAAAAAGATATTCCTAGTAAATAGTAATCAAAACAGAGCAAGGGTGGTTATATTAATATCATACAACAAAGACTTTTTTAGTAAAAAAAAAGGTTACAAGAGACAAAGAAGGACATTATATATTTACAAAAGAGTCAATTTATCAAGAATATGTGACAGTTATAAAATATATGCATGTAATAAGAGAGCCCCAAATTATAAGACGAAAAAACCAACAGAAGTAAAGAAAAAAAATACACAATAACAGTTACATAGTAATAGTTGGAGACTTCAGTACTCCACTTGCATTAATGGACAGAATAACTAAACAGAAGGTCAATAAGGAAATGGAGAATTTGAACACCACCACACGAGCTATGTATAACACACCTGTATAGATCACTCCACCCAAAAAGAGCAAAATGTACTTTCTTCCTAAGTGTACATGGAACATTTTCCAGTATAGACTATGTTAGGCCATAATACAAGACTCAATAAATATAAAAGACTGAAATCATACAAAATATCTTTCTCTGACTGTGATGGAATGAAACCAGAAATCAATAACACAAAGAAAGCTACAGTTTCATAAATATGTGGAAATTAAACACATGCTTAACAAATGAATCAAATAAGAAAGCATAAGGGAAATTAGAAAATATTTTGAGATGAATGAAAACAAGAAAAAAACTTACCAGAAATTAGGGGATGCAATAAAGCAGTACTCAGAGAAAAATTTATGGCTGTAAACACCTACATTTAAAAAGGATAAAACTTTCAAAATGGTCTGACTTTACAACTTAAAAAAAATAAATAAATAGCAATCTAAAACCAAAGTAATCAGAAGGAAATAATAAAGATTAGAACAGAAGTAAACAAAATATGGAATAGAAAATAATATAGAGACCCAACAAAACCAGAAGTGAGACTCTAAAAAGGTTAACAAAATTGTCAAACCTTTATTTAGCTAGACTGAAAAGGAAAGGAGGGAAGAGAAGGGAAAAGAGGAGAGAAGGGAAGGAAGGGGAGGAAGAGGAGGAGAGGAGAAGAGAGGGAAGGGAGGAGAAAGGAAGATAAAAAGAGTACAGGCACAAATTACTTATATTAGAAAGGAAGGGAGGGAGGGAAGAAAGGAAAGAAGGAACAAAGGAAGGGAAGGAGGGAGGAAAAAAAGAAGACATAAGTTACTAATATCAAAAGTCAAAGTGGAGGTGTTACTACCAACTTTAAATAAATTGAATTATAAGAAAATAATATGAAGAATTATGTGCCCCAAAATTTGATAACCTAGATGAAATGGAAAAACTTTTAGAAAGACACAAACTGCCAAAACTGACTCAAGAAGAAATAAAAAATCTGAATAGATTTTTAACAAGTAAAGATATAGAATTAATAATCAAAAACCTGCCACCAAAGAAAACCAAAGGACCAGAAGGCTTCACAGATGAATTCTATCAAATATTTAAGGAATAGTTAACATCAATCCTTCCCAAATTTCTTTAAAAAAAATAAGAAATGCTTCCTCTGGCCAGTGCAAGTAGGCAAGAAAATCAAATAAAAGGCATTGAAATTGAACAGGAAGAAGTAAAATTATCTCTGTTTGTAGGTGTGATCTTACATATAGAAAACTGTAAATATTCTACATGTAAAAAACTATTATAAATAATAAATGAATTCAGCAAAGTTGCAGGATACAAAATCACCACATCACACAAAACCAATTATGTTTTGATATGCTAACAATGAACAATCTGAAAGGAAACTAAAAAATCAATTTTATTTATAACAGCACCAAAAATAATAAAATACTTAGGAATAAACATAATCAAAAAGGTGAAAGTCTTCTAAAGTGAAAACTAAAAAATGTCACTGAAGGAAATTAGACGTGAATAAAGGGAAAGGCATCCTGTATTCATGAATTGGAAGAATTAATATTGTTAAAATGTAAACACTACCCAAATCATTCTATAGATTTAATGCAATTTATATCAAAATCCCAATGATTTTTTTGCATAAATAAAATAATCATTTTCTAAAATTTATATGGAATATCAAGAGATCCCACATACCCAAAACAGTCTTGAAAAAGAACAAAGTTGTAGCTTCACACTTACTTATTTCAGAATTTACTACAAAGCTACAGTAATAAAAACTATGTGGTACAGGCATAAGGCCAGATATGTAGACCAGTGAAATAGGATAAAGAGCCCAACAACAAACACTCGCATATTTGGTCAGAAATCTTCAACAACCATGCTGAAAGCATTCTAATGGAGAATGCACAGTCTTCAACAAGTGGTGTTGGGATAACTGGATGTCCATATCCAAAAGAATTATATAGATCCCTTACCTCACACCATATACAAAAATTAGCTCAAAATAGATCCAAGATCTAAACTTAAGAGCTAGGATTATAAAACTTAGAAAAAAAAACACAGAGGAATATTTTTGTAACATTGGTTTGGCAATTTCTTGGATATGACACCAACACTGTAAAAAAGTAAACATACATAAATTGGAATACATCATAATTAAACATTTTCGTATGTCAAAGGATACATTTAAAAGAGTGAAAAGACAGCCTACAGAATAGCAGAAAATATGTCATATTTTAGATTAAGAGTTAATATACAGAATATTTAAAAACTACAACTAAACAAAAAACTCATTTTTTAAAATAAATTCAATATTTATTTTAGTTTCAAGGGTTATATGTGCAGATCAGTTTTAAAATGGGTAAAGAACTTGACAGTTCTCCAAAGAAGATATCTCAATGATCAGGAATATTTTAGTCAGGGTTCTCTAGATGGACAGAACTAATAGTATATAATATTATATATATAATACATATATAATATACATATATAAAGGGGATTATATATACACACACATATATGGGAGTATATAAAAGTATAATAGAAGTACATATATAAAGGGGAGTTTATTAAGTATTAATTCACACAATCACAAGATCCCACAATAAGCCATCAGCAAGCTGAGGAGCAAGGAAAGCCAGTCTGAGTCCCAAAACTTAAGAACTTGGAGTCCGATATTCGAGGGTATGAAATTCCAGCACAGGAGAAAGATGTGGGCTTGGAGGGTAGGTCAGTCTAGTCTTCACATTTTTCTGCCTGCTTTATGTTTACTGGCAGCTGATTTGATGGTGCCCACCCAGATTAAGGGTGGGTCTGCCTTCCCAAGCCTGCTGACTCAAATATTAATCTCCTATGGCAGCACCCTTACAGGCACACCTAGGATCAATACTTTACATCCTTCAATCCAATCAAGTTGACACTCAGTATTAACCATCACAAGTCCACCCCTTGTCAAGTTGAAACCATACACATCTCCTGAGATCATACATAATCTTCAAATAAAGACAATAATAAGGTCACAATTATGCCTGACATGATACAACTATCCTTCATGCAACCCGAAATGCACCAATACCCAAACGAAATGCTATTACATAAAGCTAACAGTACTTAAATGCTGATACGAAGTCAATAAATCTTATGTCACATGATAAAGGAAAAAGGAAATAGAAGGAAGATATTTTCTTAGTACAAGTGGATACATGCACAAATATGTTATTAAGAAAAGAAGGAGGAAATATGACAATTATAGTTCTTGTTTCTGCAACTGGTCATGTGATTGTAGCTGGAATTGATGACCACCTTCTTCTACTCCTGTATTACATGCACACTCTTTCTTACCTCTGTTGTGGAGTAGTAAACTGATTTCATCTTGATAGTCTGGGTCAGTCACCCCAGGGAACACTATAGCTCCATTCTTAGCTTGTTGATTTAAAAGTAAGAGGAGCCCAAAGTGTCCAGGCAATCTTAACTTCCAGTTTAATGGAGTCATTGTTGTGTCTCCTGGTGGCAGTGTT